AAATCAGTATCTAATTCTGGTCAGAATGCTTTCCAAGTGCTTAACTTGAACCACGACTTCTGATTCCCAAATTCCTATCATTATTTTCAGGAGCTCATCTCGGTTTCAAACCCTCATCACTTTTGATCTGTAGATGTTGATCTCCATTTCGTATTGTCTACCGACTTTGAACCTGAACTGCAAAACATGATGAGCAGAATCTTCAGTTTTTTGGATCACCACAAGAGTACTTTATGGTGGTGATTCTTTTTCTTCCAATCAAAAAATTTCCAGTGTTTCCAAGTGGCTACCTATTTTTCGTATAGATTAAGCAAGAATCCTTACCTTAAATCAGTATCTATTTCTGGTCAGAATGCTTCCCAAGTGCTTGAATTAAACCACGATTTTTGATTTCCAAATTTCTATCATTATTTTTCGGAGATCATCTCAGTTCCAAACTCTTATCACTTTTGATATGCAGATGTTGACTTCCAATTCGTATTGTCTACCCACTTTGACAATTCTGCTCATCATGTTTTACAGTTCAGGTTCACTTTTTAGATTCAGAGCAAGATTCTATTTACTCGAATCTACAGTGTCTATTGGTCACCGACTTCGAAGATTCTGCTCATCGCGTTTTGCAGTATTTTTCCTCTGATCAAATAATCTCCAGTGTCTGTTCAAGTGCTCCGTTGACCAGCTATTTTCCGTATAGGTTAAGCAAGATCGTTGACATGCAGCATCCTTGACATGCAACTCTTCTACCTATTCCTACCTGTATGTAGGAAATAATCTACCTGGCTCACTCAAACCTTCACTGTTTTCTTCTCTTATTTTCTTGCAATTGGAACATCACCAGTTAGTTGGAGTTGGAGCCTAATTGAACAAGATATGGAACACGTAGCATCATTGCCACACTCCTCTATCTCCCACATCCACTCAAAATAATACTTTCTGTCAAGTGTACAGTTTGTATATAGATATACATCTCCTTATTACAATCCAAACAAACGAATAAAATGTGAGAACTTTTCGAAGTTATGTACTCATTAAATTAAAATTTAGTTGTTTTCGAAAACATCCAAATAATATTTGAGCTTCCATATAATAGGATCATAAAAAACTGTTATATGAATAGAAAATGCATATGTTTCAAACTTTATTTCGTATTTCAGTAACTATATGAATAAGTTAAACCATTCCAATTTATTATTTTGTATACAGTACATAGAATGGCGATGTACATAGACTACTTAATATGAAATATTCATGAGTGCAAGCTTGCATCTATTTGGGATTTAAAAACATGCAAACATGTATATGAAACTGTAAATATATATATTCCAGACTCTTGTATGGCGTAAATATTTTAGTTGAATTTCGTATACAAAGAACAACTTTGATTATGAACTTATAGACAAGGAATGAGTTTTGTTTAATCAAAGTTTCAAAAGATTTCAATATAAATTTTATTATATTACGGTAGCAATTTTTAAGGCTTTGTAAAAAAAAACTTTGCAAAACTTTATTAAAATGGAAACTACTGTTTGAGTACAATTCTTAAACGAAAAGAGTGGAGGAAGAGGCAAATACAAATATATGTGATAAAATTAAACTTCTAAAAATTTGTATTTTTATCATTAGAACTTTTAAAAAAAATATTCGTTCTACACAATATATAATAACATCATTATACAGAATAAATATTGAGAAATAGTTCCACGATTTAATAAATTCAATGCAACCCTAAACTTTTACTTTCTAACTTCTACATACTATTCGACCTTTTTGTATTTAATATATATGGAATTTGACATTAACAATTATTTTATTGAAATTGCATAATCATTCATAAATTAAAAGAGATATAAATATATAAAATTTCAACAATTTCAATATATTACCAATCTTTTTAAATAAATTGCATTGTTTTCAGCATATAACGTTGAAGGTTGATTATATCCATCTTTGCGTATATATTCATAATTTTTATTTTTCTAACAATTAACAAAATTATGTGAAGAATGAGACACTATTGTCATAAAACAACCAATGAATAAATAAAATTATTTTATGATCTATGCGATATAATGTAAAAAATAATTCACCATTAAATAATAAAACTGATTATTGCCTAACAATGAGATTAAACAGTGTTTTATGTATGAATTAGTCTTCTAAATCAAGTTCAAGCGGAATATAAACATTGCTCGTGGTCAGTGATGCATATAAGGTTTTTTTGTAGGTTTTTGTATCACGTATAAAAATTTCGAAATCGTCAGCCTTGATGCTGTTTCGATAATTATTTTTGATTTGCTTCCAATTATTTTATTTTAGAGAATCTCTGTTTTAATCTAAGATCATCGTCACTGATTCATTAAATTTCGATTGCTGATTTTATTAAAAATGTACTTTACTGATTTGAAACAAATTATGCATTCTGTTATGAAATTCAATACTAGTTGTTGATTTATCATCATTGCTCCACTTGTTTTATTCCGTTTTATTAACTTCCCGACGGAGTTTGATTTGATAAAAAAATCCGATTTGCTAATTTTATGTTTTCTCGATGTTTCAAGCCATTCTGAATCGAATGAGACCAAATTTAGAAAAAGTATGTGTGTGTGTGAGGATGTGAACAGATTTTTTTCCGTAAATCGACGTTTTCTCAAAAACGACTGGACCGGGTAATTTTTGGTACACGTTTTAGCCCGCAATTCTGAATCGATTTCAAAAATTCAAAAACCCCTTCGAAATATATTGGTTGGGAGTCGTGCTGATTAGTTTTTGGTAAAGATCGGCCGGGCTGTTTTCTTGTAATAAAGTTTAATAAAAAATCGATGATTTTTATGATTTTTTTTGGCGGTAAATACCATAGTCTTGTAGATCATACCAAAATATTACAGGTCTTTTAATTTCTTCGATGTTTCCAAAAATTAGTATCGTTTTTTTGGCATTTGGCAAAATTAGACCTTTGGTCGACGTTTTCTCAAAAACGCCTGAACCGTTTTCAGAAATTTAAAAGCCATTTGATGAGGATTATCGTTTGTCAGTTTTGTGCGACGATCTGCCGAGCCTTTTCTTTGTAATTTGGAATAAAGTTTTAAACTTTTCGTCCACATTTAAGCCCACACTGCCAAATCGATTTCAAGAAATCAAAAACTGTTCGAAATATATTAGTTGGGAATGATACTGATTAGTTTTAGGTGAAAATCTACCGGGCCGTTTTCTTGTAATTAACTGTTGAAAAAAATTTAAGCAGATTTTTATGGAACTTTTAAGCGATATAGATCATGGTCTTATAGAACTTTCTGAAATATATATATATATATATATATATATATATATATATACGTACATCTGTGTGCATTATAAAAATTATAAAGTGTACACATATTTAAAAATCATATGTAATTTCCATAGTCGAATGTGCGTGTCCGTATTGCATTTATAGCTGTATTTTTCATTTTGTCATATCTGCGCAAGGTCTGAGAAAGTATTGCATAATTTGTCTGTATTCCAGACTATGACACATGTAAACACTAGAATGACTATAGAATTGAGACCAAATAATTTTTAACAAATAATAACCATGAAATAAGTCTTGATATACTTAATTTGGTAGACATGAATTCTACAAGTTCTGAATCTGTTGCGTTTTATTTTATTTTAGAAATAAAAAATACATGTAAAATCCTATGCACAAAATTCATATTTTTTCCGATTGGATTTAAATTTAGTAGATTTTTGATTGAAATATTTAGTAAATTTTATTTTGTCGAATATTGCACAAGCATATTTGAAAATATTCTTGTGGAGTTGTATTCCTAATACAATAGGTACTTCTATGTTTCGGATATGGTAGGTTAGGTTAGGTATTTTATGGTTTTGCCAAAAAAAATACAAATGTGTTATCTTAGAAAATTAGAAATAATTAGTTGGTATTGGTATTTTGCCTTGAGGCAAGTTACATGAACTTCCCGATATGTGTTAATTACTTAATCTATAAAAAATAAATTAATTTGTGACTGATTAAACGTATTCCGGGTGGATTTATTACACATAAATGAAAACAAATGAACACTTAACGCGTTCGGAGTATTTTCTGAAAGCAAATTTTAAAAATAAATTATTTTTATAATTGAACCAGTTTCCGTAAGACTTTAATGATTTAGTATGTTTATTAAGAGCAAGTTCTCAATTGTTATACCAAGTAAATCATCTAATTTTAATTTTAACAAACGTCAAAAAGGCCGTAATATTTCAGTAAGATCTATAAGACCATGATATATATCGCCAAAGTTCCATAAAAATCGGCTTAAATTTTTTTCAACAGTTAATTACAAAAAACGGCTCGGTAGATTTTCACCTAAAACTAATCAGTATCATTCTCAACTAATATCTTTCGAATAGTTTTTGAATTTTTAAAATCTATTCGGTAGTATGAGCTTAAATGTGGACGAAAAGCTTATCGTCGCACAAAACTGACAAATGATTAAAATACATCAAATGGCTTTTAAATTTTTAAAATCGGTTCAGGCGTTTTGTTGATGAAATGTCTAATTTTGGCAAATGCCAAAACACGATACTAATTTTTGCAAACTGAAGAATTTTTAAAATTAAACGACTTGTCTTAAGACCGTTTCTCCTCTGGGAAGTTAAAAAATTATAAAATTCTTTACAATCAATCGAATATCAAACCATTTCCCCAAATATAAAACCCTCGTTATATGTAAATTTACAGAAAGCGACACCAGCAGTTCTTTGTGAAACATTCAACTGTCTCTTCATAAAGTTATTTTCACATTACTACAAAACCTTTTTTGATTCCTCTGTCACTCCTAAACTGATATCGAGATAGATTACTCCAAAATATATAAAAAAATCGAATTCCCTCTTATCCTTTTTAAATCTATCTGGTCCAGGAACCTTCGGAGATGTGTAAATCTTTTTCGATCCCCACTTTAACCAGATGTCATTTTTCTAACTTTTTCGCGTTCACCCCCCACATGTACATGGACATGTGTGATAATACTGGTTGCAGGAAAATACCTTTGAATATCTTACAGGTATGTTTTGAGAAAAGTAGTGGTAAGGTAAGATAGAGTGGTATAAATACCGCGGAATCAGAATGTCTAATCACAGTATTGTATAGTACTTGATTCAAGTATTACAACAAATAGTAATTCCTCGTGTTTGCATTAACTGCATCTTTACCAAATCCACCATGAAGTTCTTCGTAAGTAGAAATATTTTTTATAAATTATTTTTAATTTTACACGATACATTTGCACTAACACTCAGAACAATTATTTTATTTTAACGAAATTATTAAAAAATAAAAACATTCAAAATTTTATAAAATATAATTAATAATAATTAATGACAAATAAAATCATTTATTTTATTAAGTGTAAGATTTAATTTAAAAAAAAATTAAAACGCAGTATACCTACTTATACCCCGAATAACTTTAATACGATTAACAATTGAATTTTTTCTAATACAATTATTTATTTAATAATAACTTTTATAAATATTTGTTTATTACATATTACGAAACATAATCAATTAGCCATCCATGGGAAATTATATTTTCAATTCTCATGGGTTATAATTTTATAGAAAAAAATAATAATTGAATTACCATATTGTTCATTTTGATTGTTTGGTTATGTGAAATAATTTTTATTTAAGTGATAACCATTTCTCATGCATTTTTAAAGAAATATGATATATCTGAATATAATATTTTTGATATGTATACAACTGCTTTACTTTTATAGAATATACAATTCTATAAAACTCAGGAGAAAAACTAAAGAAATCGGCTTTTGTTCATTAAATGTAAAATTTTGTGATAAAAAATTCTAAATTAACAAAAAATAACACAAGACCCATAAACACAAATTGAACCATTTAAGCCATTTTTTTTTATCATAAATATTTCAAATAAATCAGATTCAAAGCATACCCCTGAAAACTCAATCTTTTTACTCAAAATATATTAAAAATTACATTTATAACACAAAACATTCACAAATTTCATAAGCTTATAAATATAATATATACGAGTATTATCTGTACTTTTCAATTTACGAGTGGCAAGGGTGTATTGACAAATATAAATAAAAGTTTCAAAAAAATATAATCAAGATAATTTTTTTGACAATTTTCATTATTATTTTTTGACGATAGATACCATAGTCTTATAGATCATCAGGCTTTTCGACAACTCGTTTAACTTTAAAAATTCGTCAAAGTTTGCAAAAATTAGTATCGTTTTTTTGGCATTTGTCAAAATTAGACATTTTATCGACGTTTGCTAATCTAAAAATTTAAGTCGATTTTTATGGAACTTTTTTTGGCGATATATATCATGGTCTTATAGAACTTACTGAATTATTACGGCCTTACGACAAGTAGTTTAATTTTAAAAATTCATCGAAGTTTGAGAAAATAAGTAGTTGTTAAAATTAAAATTAGATGATTTACGTAGTATAACGATAGAGTACTTGATCTGAATGAACATACTAAACCATTAAAGTCCTACGTGAACTGATTCAATTATAAAAATTATTGATTTTTAAAAATTTGCTTGTAGAAAATACTCCAAGTTCACGCGTTTGTTCGTTTTCAATTATGCGTAATAAATCCACTTGGAATACATTTAATCACTCATAAATTAATTTATTTTTCATTGATTAAGTCGATTATTTACACATATCGGAAAGTTCATGTAACTTGCCTTAAGGCAAAATACCAATAACAACTAGTTTTTTATTCTAATCGACAAAACAAGCTTTTACTTTTAAATAGTTAAAATTAGCTCGTGAACTAAATCAAATTCCTCAACTTTAATCTTTGTTGTGAAAATAATCCCACACAAATGCATGCATCCATTATTTACAATGGAGTGCGCTCTCCATTATGACGATCGCTTTCCGCTGACGAGCTTTTGTTATAAAAGTTTTTTTTGCAATGGAAACGGAGCTTTTAATTAAAAAAGCTCAGTTGCCGTTTTCGAATCAAAAAGCTCACGTCTCATCATCATCGCGATTGTTGTTGGAGGCAGGAAAGAAATCATTATTAAAATATGAATACAATAGGACAGACTTTGCTTTTATTAATGAAATGTAATAGAATGAGCTTCCAAAATATATTTATAAGTAAAATATATTTTATATGTCTGTTAGTCTTTATGAAATTATTCAATCTACGACTTGTATGTACTTTAATATGGGCTTGTTTTGTGATTCGATGTAAAGACGAAAGCTTTTGCAAATATCAAAGTTTAAAAGCAAAGCCATGAGCTTTAGAGAGATTTATACTTCAATTGAAAAGTTCATTAATAAATGGAAAACAGCCACCAAAACCAGTTTTATTTTAATAATTCATTAGTAATTAAAACAATTGTGAGCTTTAAAAGACTAATTAATTTCAGAAATTGTATGTTACGATTACAATTTATAAAACTTTGGAGATAAACTTACCATTTATTCCAGTATGCACGTAGTTGTCATAAAACTGTAAAATATAAAAATCTAATTAATTTATTAAATCCTTAAAATTAGCAATTTTTTTGCTATTTGACAACAGAATTATTTAGAATTTCAAAAGTTACTTAAATTTGTGTCATTTATCTCATTTTATATTTTAAGAAACACAATTTTTAAAAAACTGCTACTTTTACTCAGAGTTTTCACGATTATAAAAATACATTCATACATTAAACAATTATAAAGCTTTAAATTTTGAGGAATTGAATATAACGATTGAAAAAAATATCTAAAATTCTGTCAAATTTCGTTGCCTGTAACAGAATGATGTGAAACACCAAATTTGTGTAATTTGGTGTTGTGTGTTTATTTTAACCCTTTTAAGTCCGTAACCTTTATGGGTGTAACTCTTAGGTCAAATTCTACGTTTTCGATATCTTACCAAATATTTGTGTTTTTGTGAGATGACATGAATCTAGATTATATAACGTAGTGAAGATAAATATCAATATCTATGCTAGGCTTTTCAACCTGAAATAATATTCTCTCAAAACAAAGTGTTAGTACATAATAGGCCGCTGTGACTTCGAAGTCACCAAAAAATTCGTTAAAAGAGGTTTTTAATTTTTATTTGCATATATAGGCATACAATTACTGATTTTTCATTCCGCCGTTTCATTCATGTAAATCAAAAATTCAGCTCATAGAGAGTTGACATAATATCTTCTATACTCTTGCAAAATAATTTAAGGAATTAAGGGCATAACAATCCTCCTTCTTCCCTTGCAATGTTGTTCTTTCAAAGATGCTTCAACAACAATATTAGCCCTAATTTTTCCAACAATAAAGACACGTACAAATTCCATAATCCCATACAAATTCTTATATAAATACACCTTTATCACATTCATTGAGAATTTCGCAACATTTGGCAATGACACTGTAGCTCAGTCGAGTGAGACCGTTGCACAAAAAAGTAATACGATAATTATTTTCTTCCATATAAAAATACAATATCCATCGCACAAAGGCAAACCCACATCCAAGTAACAAAACTGGTAATAATATATTTCTGTAACCAGAGATTCTTACTGGAAAAGGAAATGATGTCTGAAGCATTGTGTAATATGGAAAGTTCTTTGAATTTTTAGAAATGCACATAATTATTTGCGTACTAATGGTAGTGTTGATCATAATTAAAAAATTCAATTATTTAATACAATTTTAAAAGTACATTCATAATTAACGCGTTAATCACATCAGAATTTTTTTTTCATGAACCATGGTAACTTTATTAGATAAGTTAGTTAATGTATCAAAGATTTTTTCTCAAATTCCTTATAAAATAGTATTTTTATGTCACACGTATATGACTAACATGGCCCTATATTAAAACGTTTTTTTTTGATGTCAGACACATATGACTGACATGGCAATTAACGTATTAAAGTACTTTTCATCCATATTCCACAGCAGTTTTTTTAACATACGCTACTTAAGATTTTGTTCAATCAATAAACTAGTTGGTATTGGTATTTTGCCTTGAGGCAAGTTACATGAACTTCAATAAAAACTAAATTAATTTATGAGTGATTAAAAGTATTCCGAATGGATTTATTACTCAATTACTACTCAATTGCTACTTAATTAAAAACGAACGAAGAAGTTAACTCGCAGTATTCTCTAAAAGCTAATTTTCAAAAATCAACAATTTTTATAATTGAACCAGTTTCCGTAAGACTTTAATGGTTTAGTATCTTCAATAAGACCAAGTACTCTATTGTTATACCAAGTAAATCGTCTAATTTTAATTTTAACAAACGTCAAAAAAACTACTCATTTTCTCAAATTTCGATACATTTTTAAAATTAAACTACTTGTCGTAAGGCCATAATATTTCAGTAAGATCTATAAGACCATGGTATATATCGCTAAAAAAGGTTCCATAAAAATCGGATTTAATTTTTTTTAAGATTAATTACAAGAAAACGGCTCGGTAGATTTTCACTTAAAACTAATCAGTAACATCATTCCCAACTAATATCTTTCGAACAGTTTTTGATTTCTTGAAATCGATTCGATAGTATGAGCTTAAATGCGGTGAAAAAGTTAAACACATTTTTCCAAATTACAAAGAAACGGCTTGGCAGATCGTCGCACAAAACTGACAAACAATAGTCCTTATAGAAATACATCAAATGGTATTTAAATTTTCGAAATTGGTGCAGCCATTTTTGCGAAAACGTCAATTTACAGCAAAAAATCTGTTCACGCACACACACGCATACTTTTTCTAAATTTGGTCTCATTCGATTCAGAATGGCTTGAAACGGCGAGAAAACATAAAATTAGCAAATCGTATTTTTTTATAAAAACAAACTTCTCCTTCGGGAAGTTAATTATAGACTCAGCAGATATTTTCAAACCAAGCCAGACTCGTTAAACAATTTAGAGCTGGTAATTCAACTTAATCTTTTTAATTTCCTAACTAATCGTTCAAGTTAATTACTATCTCGATAAAAAGTTTGTTCATAATTGAAAACTTCTTACCCAACTCCTTAAAAAAAACTCGCTTAGGTTAGATATAAAATATCTACATCTACTTACATAGTCGTTAGCCAATCATTTTCCTTCTAACTTTTTTCTAAAATCGGATGCAGAACAAGTGCATTTCCTCTGCATCGTGTCTGTAATGAATTATTCGAACGTCGTATTAAATTTCAATGTAGCATCGAGTTTTGAATCAAATTCCAATTCGGTTGAATCGAATTTCTGTCAAAATTGATTGCAGCATTTGGCGTGTAACTTGTAACTGAATCGTTTCTTGGTATATAGATGTATGTGGTAACGATGGAAGTTTGATTATAGGTTGGATACACAGTTGGGAAATAGATAATAGGTAATGGGTAATGCATTTTTCCTCCAATAAGTATTTAATTATAGAACAATATAATTATTTACAGCAGATATAATATATATTTTTAGTAGGATGTGTCACAATATTTTTTCTTGCATAACTTTTTTGTGATTTACATTTTACATATTGTGCGAATGATTTCAATATTTAAATCAGGTTCACATATTGTATTGATCTTTTATTTATTTTGTATTCGTATGTATTTGTTACTACGATCACTGATTTGTAACCAAATTATAATGAGAAAAGATTTATTTATTTATTATTTATTATACATGTTTCGCGGACTTTTCTTTTAGAAGTGAACAATTAGTACTATCAAACTCACCGCTACCCACTCTACCACGGGTAGCAACAATCCCGTGTAAAAGCTCAATGCCATGAAGATTGTCACCTTCATGGCCAATGTAATAAAACGAAAATACGTCCAAACACATATTTTTCTAATGATCATATATCACATTTTATTTTAAATGTGCATCAATTTGTGTATCTATTATTGCAAAAAGGCAAAAATTTGGAAAAACCTTGTTTCATCATTATTTGTTTAATTCACATTAAATGTTAGATATTGATCACATACTAACCAAAAACAAATCAATCACTTTTACTCTGTCGCTTTCATTTTCAAGGGAAAAAAATTCAAAAAAAAAATTAATTTTAAATTGAAAATTGAAACGAAATCGTTATATTTAAATGTCTGGTAAGACTATGCCTATGTCTTTAAATTGTTATATTTAAATGTCTTCGTAATTCAGTTTTAGGTATATCAAACTATTGTCCTTTTTCATACACCTAGTCGATTTATTCAAAATTTAATTTAAGATATTCATTCTGGTGAATTCAAAATACTCCAAGAAAATATACTTGATGTCCTACTAAGCCGATGGATGTTCTTCGATGCCTTTCATAAGCATCTTGTTTGTCTGAATTTATTCACCTTCTGATTACAAACACAAATTCAAAGGATTCATTAAATATTCTCTGATCTTATTGAAATCATTTTCAAACAATTAATTAATTTTAGAAAAGGATGATTTAGTCTTTGTTCTCATTAATAGGATTTATATTAATTAATTAAATTTAGGAACTCAGGAAAACGATCGTGATATCGCTAATATAGTTAATAGCTATAAATATTGTTATTAATAGACACGTGTATAATTAGAAAAAAATATAAATCTTGTTTATTTGGACATTTTGAGAAACTATTATATTTGTTTCAGGTGTTCGCCTTGTGCACAGTTCTCTTGGCTTCTTGCTACGCCGAAGATGAACCAGTTGAGAAAAAAACTGAGAAACGTGGATTGATCGGCTTAGGTTATGGAGGTGGTTATGGAGGCTATGGAGGACACGGTTTGGGTAAGAATATAATTGATAATCCCGAAAAAACTAATTTTGGTTTTCAAATATTGTTACTGGAGGATCATCATGACTCGAACCGCCAAACAGTACATCAAATTTGAACTTCATTTCTAATATTTAATTCATATTTTTTTCCTCCAGGCTATGGAGGCTACGGAGGATACGGAGGTCACGGATTCGGAGGCTATGGAGGATTCGGAGGACTCGGCCATGGCGGATATGTAGCCGCTGCCCCCATCGCTGTCTCTAAAGTAAGCTACGCCACCACTCACGGAATCGGAGGCTATGGCGGTTATGGCGGATATGGTGGATACGGACATGGAGGATTCGGAGGATACGGAGGATACGGACACGGAGGATATGGTGGATACGGAGGTAAGAATAAGTGATAGTATAAATTTAACAAGGTAATAATAATAGATTTTTTATTATTAAATTTGAGAGATGCAAACTTGTCGATCAATTAGTCACAAAACTAGGTCATTAGCAATTGCAAACATAGCAATTAGTTTGTTTATTTAAAAAGATTTATTTATTCGATAATATATTACATAAAGAAAAAAGTGAGTAATTAAGGTATTTGTACATCTATCTACATATTAATTAGTTTCATTTTCGATTGTAATGGACAAAAATGATTTTTTCCTTTACCTTAGGATACGGCTACGCCGCCCCAGCCATCGTAGCTGCACCAATCGCCAGCAAAGTCATCTACTCAGGAGCAGGTCTTGGTCATGGAGGTTATGGAGGTTATGGAGGTTACGGAGGATACGGAGGAGGTTACGGATTCTCCAAGCTCGGCGGTTATGGAGGTTACGGCTACGGCGGCTACGGACACCATTAAGCGTAGCTGAACACAAAAAACACACGACACACACAAACACAACACTCATCCAAAACGCGTGCTTTATTTTGTACGTGTATGTATATATTTTCGTATCTGTACATGTGTATAAAAGATTATTGCATATATTTGACAAAGGAAAAGTGGGATATTTTATAGTTTTTGTATAATTTTGAGTATTATATTAAATCCACTGCCAAATCCACTTTCCAAAAGTTTGAAAATCCGTCTCGGAGACGTGTTGTCGACTTTTAACGATTAAAATCGAAACATTATCATAAAATAACTCGAGACTGACTTTTATATGACATACATTCATGTAATGTTTCGTTGTTAGTCAATTTATTTTTACGATTGTGATTTCCTTTATACACGTTTACATATATAGTTTTTTTATACTTTTCGAAAAATATCTGTACATTTTGCTGTTCTATATTTTTGTACGATTTGGAAATAAAATTTACAGATACAAACTATTTATTTTTTATTTATATTTGAATTTATTTTACAGTCATGTCATGTATGTGCAGTTTGTAAAAGTTGCTGTAAAAAGTATGTCATCTTATTGGCATGAGAGTATTATACATAAAAATCGAATCGGTTTTAAAGTTTCAACATACAAGATTCTATTACTAATTTTCTGTTAATCAAATCGTCGTAGTAAATTACAATTAGTCTGACTTTTAACATTTTCATGTCTTTAATTTTAAATTTTGTGTAATTAAAAAAATATGTATGTGTATTTGAACCAAATTTCAATTAGAACCAAAATAGCAATTTTATTTTAGTTTAGTAAAAAAAAAATGCAATAATGATAATTAGCAATGCTTTGAAATTTATTTATTTTTCTTTATGATAGAATCATATTGATGACATTTACATTATATTATTACCGCAGCAAAGATTTGATTTCCTCACATTTACTTTTATACAATTTTAATCAAGAAATCTATTCTCATGTATAAGATTATTGTCATCGTAAATACCTGCGTGTCAAATAAAAATTAACATATATTCGTTATGGAATTAATAATAATGAACAATAGTAAAGAATGAGAATTTTCACATCAATCGGAATTAATTATAAGAACAATAGTTTGATTTCAGTAATTTTTAATTCACTTTAAAATCGCCTGCAGGTATTTTATTAATCTATACATATCATGCACCTACTTTTATTTAGTTTAATTATATTTAGCTGTACCAGCGACTTCGTTTATGTAAAATTAAGAAAAACAGTTAAGTTTTTGCGTTTTTATTTTAATTATTTATTTTTAAAGTCTTTTGTAGTAGATTCTTTTTTTATGACTTAAACTTTTGTATTCCCCGGAAATCAAAAAATGAAAAATCAAACCCAAAAGTCTACGTCATCATGTCTACGTTACTGACTAAATCTTTAAAAAAATGACCAATATCAATTAAACCCAAATGTACTTAGCTTAAAATTATTTTCTATTATTTTTAAAAGATAGAAAAAAAAAGCAATGAAATGCAACGATTAAAATATTTTTTTAATCACTTTCTTATAATGTAAAAGTAAAATATAAATTCAATAAAATTAAAAAATTGGAATTGAAGAAGCCTAAAATAAATTTGCTGAAAAATCGTTTGGCATCGTGCTGGAACTTTCCCTATCGACAAATTGCTGGAACTTCCCCTACCGTAATGAAATATTCCAGGAATATTAAATGTTTTGAAATAGATTATTATAAATACTTTAACTTATATATGTTTACAGAGAAGTAAATAAACAAAATTTAATCAATCGAATTTAAAATGATGGATATTGTCAAATATTTATAAGAATTTTTTTAACTGATTTGCAAAGTTAAAATTATTCATTTGAAGTATATAAGTGAGGTTAAGAACTATAGCTAGAATTGATTTTAAAATTCGAATTATTTTCGATATTCAAAAAAAAAAAAAAAATAAATAAGAACCAAAAAAATCCTAAAAACAATCGTTTCGTCCACACAAGCAGAAAGTATTCTGAATTATTCAAATCGGATGCTTAGTTTCCTAAAAACTGACATTTTTGCACATTTAGCTCAGTATAACCGAATCTGCTGGACCTGCCTTTGCCAAAAACTAATCACCACTTCTCCCCGTCATTACAACTCGAATGCTTTTTGGATTTTTCAAATCGAATGCTCCGTTCTCTCAAAACTCGATTTCTATTTTCTGCACTCTTTGCTCGGTATTTCCGAAACGGTTGAACCTTCTTTTGCCAAAAACTAATCGGCACATCTCCTTATCAATAGGAATCGAATGTTTTTTGAACCGAAAACGTGAACGAAAAATTGTATCAGTACATATATACACACACACATCCATTTTTTCCGAGGTATGCCAAAATGTTCAGAAACCTTCAAAAGAAGAAATGCAAAAATTTTCAATGTCTATTTTTGAATGATTATAAAAACTTAATATCTATTAATTGTCAAATATTATAGCATCTAGGTGTTGTGAATGCTTTTCAGGCGAATTGCAAACCATTTTTCATTTCATCTCAGAAGCTGGTCTGTTTTTTCATCTTCATTTTTCTGTAATACGAAATATATACAAAGGAGTGTTATGTTTTACCATGTTGCGAAGGAAAAAAACGACGACATATAGTCATGGTTATGCTGACGAAATGTGAAGAATCGAGGGCCCGAGTTATTCACTTGGAATCGGTAATAAAACCCTCCTTAAGCATGTAAGTTCTTATGTCACATACGCACTCAAGATATTTCTGAGACTGTATATCCATCAAGAACAGCATGTAAACCTTGTCGATTCAAAATAAATGTTTAATGTAATTACTTAATGCTGAGAAAAAGCCATTTAATCCCCTCAACATCGCCATTGTAGAGAAAAGGATACTCAACACAAATGCTACGGAAGCTTTTCTTTCTTAAGCAAATAATGGTAAATAAAAGTTACGAAATCGTTATTTTTGCATTATCTATGAATTAATATATTATTTTTCATTTGCATTAATTTTAAATACAGTTTATTAACTTTTCGTAGGGTAAGTTATTATAATCGTTTAAAAATTGAAAATGCAATTTTTTACATATCTTCACGTTTCAGGGATTTCTGAACAGTTTCTGATTAAGTGGATGTGTGTTGTGTATGAAGTGTGGATACAATTATTTTTCGTCGACGATTTCGTACGTATGGATAAACCGATTCAAATAATTAACTTCCCGTAGGGTAAGTTAGAGTAATCGCAAAAAAATTCAAAATTGAAATTTTCACGTTTTGAAGGTTTCAGAACATTAAAAACGGTAATTCGATTTGTAAAATATAACACATGCACAATTTCGTGAAGTTTTATTATTCCCAGAGATTATATTATGCTGCGTACATATTTATTCGCCGTTTGTCACATTCATCAGGCGCAATTTTATTATTATTATAAACTAAAATGTTATGAACAAACAGAATGGTACAATAGTTGTAAAAAATAAAATTCTTTCAAAGATCGTTGACCAATATTAAATTTTACAGGTCTTTTTTTTTTCTTTTAATATTTTATAAATTAACATTGAAGGACATAGAACTCTTTACAACAAAAAACTTTATATTCATGAAGAGTTATCCACCCCTATTTTTTTAATTATGGAATCAACATTTCTTCTAATTTTAATTTGGCCTATTATTTGACGTAACTTTAGTTAGGATTTTTTTAGTTCATGAAAATGCTTAAATGTCAATTTAAAATATTTTATTTTTTAGGGTTGACCAACCCTAAAATTTTTTTTCAGTTTTGAGATCAATTTTCTTTGTGTTTATATTCTTCAATGCAGAAGTGACAAATATACACGCATACAATTTAAAATTGAGTTATCGGATTTTGCATCGTAATTCAAAACTTACTGAATTATTGTTCAGTAATTCAAAAATTACTGAAAAGCGTAGTGATATTAAATCAAAATCTTGAAACTTTAAATGTGACATTTTAATTTAAATATAATCAGTTTCAGATTAGGTTGGCACTTGTAAAGGCTAATAAAATAACCCGGGAACATTTATATGTGGCGTGCTTTGCAGTGGATAAACTATTCATATCTTTTTTGTTAGCTGCGCCTTTCACTTATATACCACATTTGCAATAGGTTAGTTATTTTTATACTAAACATTTTATACTAGAATATAACGTTTGCCGGATCAGCTAGTATATATATATATATATTCATATATATATATATATATATATATATATATATATATATATTATAAAGCTCATGTATAAAAGAAACAAGCTAAAATTAATACCAGGTACGTAAATTCACGGTACAGGTGTATATGACGCAAAAACCTGTCAAATAAACAAATAGTGACGCATTCGTCTCTAAACTTCTCAAAAATGGTGTCTCGTGTAATAAAATACCAGAAATTAATAGTTCCATTTAATTTTAGACAAAACCAAATTTCCGATTTCATTATGAACAGTTTATGAAACATATATTGTTAATAAACATTTAACAAGAAGTGTATGCTTTTATAATTAGAAATCCAAATATTTGAAAACCGGCTATGTGGAATAGTGTACAGTGTTTATTGATTAGAACAACGGTTGACGATTGTATTAAATAAATCAATAAAAAGTAAGAAATGCTTAGAATTAAAGATTTATTTATAAAGTATCAATATCATAACTAAAAGGTTTACTACTGGGTATCCTTTTAAGCATCCATTTTTACTACCAACAATCTAATTACTGAATGTCTCTTGGAGATAGATTGTAATTTATATGGAAATAAAATAAAAAATAAAGTATCGACATCCAGTTTTCACTAGAATGTTACCTAAAATAGCATTGTTAACCATTTTTTTTATCAGAACATAAACGTAAAGTAATTATCGTCCGATAACTATTTTGTCCAAAGAAAACTTAAATTTTTGAAAGATAGGGATGATACTTCTCAAAACTGCTGAAATCCTAACCGGCCAAGAACAAATTTAATCTCTAATAGTAAATAATTAAATTCTATAATTCTATAAGCATTTCC